GAACTGAGTTCAGGTCTTTTGTGCAAAGCTTACTTTGAGTTTTATTCGACCCTATGACCCTTACCCACTGCTAAATGAGACTAGTGCTGTTATATCTGGAGGAACACTCTTCCACTTTGCACATTACTCTTTGACAATGTGCTCTATAAAGTAACCTGGGTTTACTGTGATGCTGAACCTTGTGCCATTGGGGTATCAAATACCATAATGGTTTCCCAATGTGGAGGACAGTGTTTGGTCGAGCTCCCAGTTGTGAGATGGGTTTGGAAGCAGGAGTGGCTTCCACTTCCTAAACCACATGACTCTGGAAACTATGAACTTGGAGAAATGGCAATACGGAAACTATGAATTTGGAGAAATGACAATAGTTACGGAAAGGCATTAGGTCTTTTGTTCATAGAGTCGCTATGAGTCGTGCTCGACTCGACAGCAATCAACAACAAAAACAACAATTCAATCCCTAATAGCTGACTTGTCTTTTAGCCTGTCTTACTCTCTCCACATCATTTATCCAGTTGGTGATATGTGATAATTTCTCATTTCTATGGCCCATAGCCTTCACAGCCTCATTCTTACAGTGTCTGGCTGCTAAATGAAAAGGTGCTCTATAGGACAAAGATTGGCAATCTTCTCGCATGAGGAGTTCATCAACAGCCTCTGAAAATCCACCAGAAGGTCTCCCATGGGTTGATTCCTACCCAATGGTACACAGCAACAGTGTTACTAGGGATTGGAATCCATCAATAGCAGTACGTTTGGTTTTACGGTGCATGAGGCTCGTAAAATTCAACTCATGAGTTCAACTGTCTCCCCGCCACATTTGGTCCTGACAGAAAAATAAGACCTCAGAACCAGACAGAAAAGGCAACATTAGGAATTGTTAATATAAAAATGAAATCAGTGAGGTGATTGTGATGCCTACCAATCTTCTAACAGGTTTCTAAAGTTGTAATTTTAATGAGATGGGATTACCCACCTTTCTCCTGTGGAGCAGCTGGTGGTTTGTGCTGCTTTGCACTAAGCCACCAGTGCTCCTTTGAATTTGTATTATCTAATGTTTCATTAGAGTTGAGCACTTACTGCAGGCTCAGTGACTTATGAGTTTATTTTCAGAACAATTTAGTGAGGCAGATACTAATGTTCTTCTAATTTTCCAGAAGAAGATGAGGGAATAAAAGAGATGGATTTGAACACATGCAGTCTGACACACCTGTTCACTTGGCCTCTCAGTTAGTACTTTGATCTTAGTGCTCGTTACCAAAACCATCTCGTTATTACTTATCTTATTACTCCAGGAAACACTAATTTTCTCAAACTGATGACTTCTTTACCTTTGACCTCCCTCAGCAGAGCACAGTGTCTTCCACTTACAGAGAGACACAGAAACCATCAGGCAATCTTTTTACCTTCTTGCTGCCAATGTTCAAACTTACCTGCATCCATGTCCACTCTTGTCTGTTCCAATGTGCTCTTTCCAAAGACAGAAAAAAAGGACACAACTGGAAGACGACAGACACAGGTTTCCCAAGGGGAGAACGAACCATTTTATTTGTGGGGAATGTTAAAACAAAGCCATTTACAATTTGTAACAAATACAATTTTTTTTGTTTTGTTCCCTAGTTCTGAATAATTACAGTATGTACAAATTCAATAAGGCACTGGTTCCCCAAATGAACACAAACAATTCTCCTTTTAAAACAAACAAGACAACAAAAATCCCTTATATATTGCCAACTTTTCTCCAAAAGATATGGCATTGTTTTTTGTTTTCTGACAGGAGAAATTATAATTGCTAAACTAAATCATTCTGATGCTACTAATTTGCATTCTCACTGAATGTGGTGTTGTTTTCAATCTGAACATATCTTAATCCGAACATACTCAAGTTTCAAAAATCGTACTTTCACTACCTTTCCACCTACAAGCAAAGAACAGCAAGAGAAAGTCAACCTATGACACCTGACTTTCTAATGAATATGCATAACTCTAGGCTTATTACAATTGGGCCATTATTAAGTTCTTGCTATACTTGAATGCACACCAATTGAAATGTGTCAAAGACTTCCCTGTAAATAAAATCTTTATTTTTAACTAAAAAGCTTTATGTCTTGAAAACTAAAAAAAAAAAAATCACTAGTGACTTTTGATCTGTGCTTTCCTAGGGGTCAAAGGTCTGTCTCCTCACACACACAGTGTCCATAGCCATCATCTGTGATTTAACAATGTATACATTTTCATAAATAAATATTATGTTTCATTTAGTATCTTATCATCCATAATATTTTACTCTCTAATCCACATAATGGAGTTGTGCCAGACTCCAAACTGAACATAATATTTATATATACATTTACATTTATATAATATATATACACATACATAAACTATAAACCTGAATATCTTTGCTTACAAAACTTATATTATCTACCAACCAATATTTTAGAAATGGTTCCAAAAGTGAGCAGTCAACTAAATTATTAATCTCCAGGTTCCCATTTAATCTACTGAAAAACAAACAAACAAAAAAAAGAAATACAAAAAATGCCACTTTTAGGCAGCTAGAAAAATTTTTTAAAGGGATTATTTGGAAATGAGTAGGTAGTCTTTAAAAACAAAATATTCTGTAAGTAAAGTGAATTTTGGTGCAGTACAGAGGAAAAATCTATATTATCTTATTAAAATATACTGAGTAACAAGTCAATGGATCTTTTTAAGTTTTTCAAGAATAATTTTGAAATGTTGAGAGTTAGTAAACCAAGTTTGGAATTATAAGGTAAACTAATAATTTCTCATAGAAACCAAACAAATAATACAGAGGAAATCTGAGTACGATTTCAATTTCTTCCCACTCTTCGTTGCAACTAACATCTTTCTATCTAGCTGGTTTACTTTCAAATCATCATCCTCACAAAACGTTCTGATTTTAACTTATTTGTAAAACTTAGTAAAAGGGAAAAAAAGAAACCTCTTCCCCCCTAAAAGGTAAGTCTAACTCACTTAAATTTATGGGAAATTCTGTTATTTCCCTTATCTTCAGGCATATCTGTTGGCTAACTTGGTCTAGGTGATATTAGAGGACTTGAGTGTCTCTCCCAGGCTCCTATGATTATAAAATTTCATTCTAGAAACATATCCCTTCTAAAGTACCAAAAGGGAAAATAACTTGCCTCAGGAGGAAGGAATTTAAAAAATGCTAGTGAGGTTATTTTAATATTGGTAAGTGCAATATTCTCATTGAAATTATATTCAGAACCAACAGCCTTTAATCTTTCTAAAAAATCTTTTTGCCCTCAAATTCAAGACTTTCCTTTTTCAGTTACAAAAGTAATAAGGCCTTGGGAAGTGAATGTTAAATACAGAGCACTTGTTTTTCTCCTTATGATTCTTCTCAAGCTGTACGCACTGCTCAGAATCCCTTACTTCTCTAGGATGTTTTCTGGATGAACAAGTCACCAGCTGCAAGCCTACTTCAGAAGTGAAGAAAATATTTTCTCATTTTCCATGCAGCTGTCAAGTTTTCAGGAATCCTCCATCCTTCAGTCACTGAGTGGTGTGGAAATGTGTTATGAAACGCTGCCCCCTTGAGTATTCTGTACAAATGTCTTTGTCATTTTGTTGTTTTTTTAAGGCCAAGGGAGAAATGTTTTCAAATTCTTTATCAAACATTAAGAAATAAAACAAAAACAAACACACACAAAACAAACCATTAAGTTTGGAAATGGAAATGAATAAAGTTGACTGGGATGCGTACGATTTTAAACTTGCTTATGTTCTTGGTGTTAAGGTGTATTGGCCCAAAGAGTTTCCTTACGTTTGTTCAAAAGTTAAAGCCCTGCAGAAGTTAGTAGATTGAGAGATGTTTTACACAAGTGCCACAGAGAAGGAAGAAAGAAAAAAAATAAATTAAAAAGTTAACTGGACAACATGAGAATAAAATGACAATAATGAGAGTCAGTATTTCTACGATATGAGATAACCACATTGGGAGATGTCCATATTGGATCCTTACCTAATCCTAGAACAATAATCATGGAAGCCATCAAGTTTTATGTTCTTCTCGAACTCTTTCCTGCTGTCTCATTTAGAGATTATATCTGTTTTTAAGCAAAAATTGAGTTAATCTAACCTAACAGCTGTTTCTTTTTCAATCCCTTTTCCTCAAACATGGAAGACAAAGACTAACAGGAAGCCTTCTTTATCTCTATAACCTAAGGTGTGCATCTCTTTTGTCCTTGTGCTTCTGAAGCTGGCTCTTCTGCATACAGAAGAAACAAGTCATTTGCACTCACACTGTACATCCTACTCATAGACACATTCTTCTAACATAAAAGCAAATGGTCTCAGTTTTAAAACCATGCACCCTTAAATACATGAGATAGCAGTTTCATTCAATATTGAGCCTTTCATTTGAGAGATCAAAAGCATACATGGGTCAATGACATAAAAAGGCTTTGTTGTGTTTAATGAAAAAGTATTTTTTACTACGAAATAAATGCCCAAGAGAATCAGAAACACAAAGTGATGCTGCTGCACAGCACTGACGCTTACTTCTAGCACAGTCACATAAAACCTTCATTTATTCCATTTTGTCAGAAGCTGCAAGCGGTCACCTGCAGGAATTCCAAAGAGTGGTCCACACAGGTGGTACTGACAACCAGATGTACCCATATTGATGTGTCCGCCCCAAACACAGGCTGGCCAAGGTGGTCTGAGGAGGTGGGTGGGAAGCAACGGCTTTAACATGAGTTCTGTCCTCTGTTCTCCAATGTCACGGGCTACCTTTTGTTTTATAGGGTGCAATAATAGTATTTTACCAATAAGGGAACAACCAATTAACTTTCAGCAGAGGTTCTAGAAAGAACTTTTGATGATGTTATTATTTAAACTATAACAGTATAAACCTTACAACATCTAGATTTGTTTTATTTTGGCAAAATGAAAGCATCTTTAAAAAAAAAAGGCAACTCCAAAATACAAGGCTTTCTTAGAAAGCAACACATATTATATACTGAACAAGTTACCCAAGCCAGCTCTGCCTCCCACAGTCAGAGAGGAATCTGTTTGTCTAGGGACGTCTTTGTCTCTGTCCAGGGTGCTACCTAGGAGCCGAAGTCTGAATCCACCATGAAGCAGGATGATGTTCAAGGCTTGTACCATGGATGCTTCTCTACCACTTTCTACTATCTTTTTCTCTGCCCACAACAGAAGGAAAAAAAAAACCCAAATCTCTTGCCTTTCTCAATAGAGGCTTACTTTCCCCTTCAAATCAAAGCTTAATGTCCTGGGACTCTGACATTTTGGCCAGTGTTTTCTTCACACGCAGGGCTGTCAGCCGGGATGCAGGGTTGTGAGCCCAGCACTCTGTCATGAGCTTTCCCATCTGCCTTAGACACTGTGGGAAGAGAAAGGTAAAACTGGAGCAGCAGTCGAGAAATGTATTTTCTGCACGTTTTGACACCTGACATGTGGCTTTTACTGCTTTTCTGAAGTCAGAATATTCTTTTAAAAGGTGCTCTCCCAACTCTGAAGATAGAAAGTTCTCTAAGAATACCTCTTTCATGCAAAATTGCATTTGACCCCAACTGATTTTCAAGTCTTCCTCTGATGAGAGCAAGCAGGTGGTTTAGCTGACTGTTGAAAGATCCCTTTGTGAATCAGTATAAAACAAATATGAAAATCTTCATGGAGTCTGTATTCCGCTCCATGCTCCCAGACTGTTTACTGAACTTGATAAGTTTAAATCTTTTATTTCTTACTACTCAAATAAACATGGTTTATTTGTAAATCACAGCTGTCTGCTACAATAATAGCATCACGTTATACCTTTTAACAAGATGAATGACCTGTGCCTGGCATCACTAAACTTTCTCTGTGTTCTCCTGCCATACATCAATTATGAGGCTTCCTGTGGAAAGGCACAATTTTACCTCATCAGAAATTCTCAGTAAAGGCAAAGTGACATAATCCTAATGCCTTTACCACCTTCAAAATAATATAACTTCAGCATCTCTTAACGATTCCAGCCAATGTTGTTAGGAAACGTACATGTTAGTTAACATTTCCATAATGATACACAAAACCAATAAGCAGAAGTACTTTGTAACAGCATTTTACCCTGAAGAATTAGTTTATAAATAAAACTCTCGTCATGGAGGTGGTTATACTTACTTTGGCACATGTTAACATGAATCTTTTGTTTTCTTTTTCTTGTATCTCAAACTTATTTCTAACTATTCCAGCCTGCCAGAATACTCCAGGAATTGGGTGAGTCTGGACACTAAAATAGAAGATGCAGGGGGATGTGGAGTCGGAGGAGAGAAGATTGAGTCCAGGCAGACAGACCTGCTGATTTATTCCTGCCTTCTCAGCAGCTCTTTTCAAAGCTGTTCAGGTCTCTCACCATATTCTGACAGCTACAGCTGAACGTCAACTTGTTCAAATCACGTATCATCATCTTTATTAACAAGGATACTCAGCACAGTCAAATATGCCAGGTAGGGTCAATGTCGTACACATTCACACTCATTTCTGCGGAGTCAGAACCAAAGCATAGTCAACATTCCCCTGGGTTTTTACAGACTACAGTGCACAGAAGAAAGTGCCTTTCTTCCTCCCATGGAGCAGCTGGTGAATTCAAACCACCTGTCTTTTGGGTGGCAGCACAGTTCTTAACCACTTTTTTACTTGTTAATATGTGAAAAGTCTGGGGTGCATCATGAAGAAGAAGAATAATTCCTTAAAAACATTTAATATGCAAAACAACTCTGAGATTTCATCTCACCCCAGTAAGTATTGCAAAATTCAACAGAGCAGCAAACAGCAAATGCTGGTGAAGTTGTGGAGAAACTTGAACCCCTAGTCACTGTTGGTGGGAGTGTAAAATGGTGCAACCACTATGGAAGGCAGTATGGTGCTTTCTCAGAAAGTTGGAAATAGAAATAGCATTTGACCCAGCAATTTCACTACTGGGAATATATTCTAAAGAAATCAGAAGTGCCACCCAAGCAGATGTATGCACACCCATGTTTATTGCTGCTTTGTTCACAGTAGCAAAGAGATAGAAACAACCCAAATGTCCATCAACAAACAAATGGTTAGAGAAACTGTGGTATATTCACACAATGGAATATTATTCAGCACTGAAAGAGGAACTTGTGAAATACTATAGAAAATGTGCAATCCTGGAGGACATTATGCTGAGTGAAATATCTTAGTACTAAAGGACAAAAACTGCAAAATGCCACTATTGTAAAGAGACTGACATTGGGGTTGAGGGGAACCTAAAAAAAAAGAGGAGGTAAGTAATGTACACTGCATGGAAATAGATGATGGAAAGAACTGCTTAAAAGGAATATAGGAGCAGGTAATATTTATATGATAACAGTCCAGAATAAGAGCTACATAGTAAAGTGGACTGGGATAGAGGTGGGGAATTGTACATCAGTGAAAGAATTTTTTTTTCCAAAGAGAAAAGCAAACTGGAGGAGAGGGGGCAGGGGGGAAAATGTGCAATAGTGAATGAATGGAAATCCAAGTTATCTACAAAATTCATTTAGATCTCAATAAAATAAAAAAAGATAAATACAAGTAAATAAATTTTTAATAATAAAATTATATTTAAAAATCCCTTTAATATATTTTCATTTACTGTTCCATTGCCATAAAGTTGATTACCACTGCTAAAGATCCTATCAATCTCCTGCCTCTTTTTCTCCCTCTGCAGAGTCAGCTATGAGTTGGTTCTGACTGAACGGTACAAAAAAACAATAGCAATGAGCCTCCAGGAACTAACAACTGCATTAGGCATTACACACATATACACACCAACACTGATGCGTACACTAAAACAGTACTAATCATCACTATGCAAAATGTCAAAACATCATAAATAAGTGTAATAATGATATCTGAGCTCTTATAGCATAGTCTATAATCCATTCTATTGCTAAGGCAAAGGTCAAGTCTCTCTAGGGGTTTAAATCAACCAGCTGCTCTGAGGTAGAAATATGGTCCATTTCCTCCCATGTGATTTAAAACCATGGAAACCCAATGACGGGTCAACAGTGGGTTGGTTCTAACATAAAAACGAGTAATGAAATGGAAGTTATGAGGCTAAATGTTGACCCACCACATGATCAATATTATTTTAGAAGCTGTAAAATTAAATTCTCAAGCCAATAGCTCTGGGAACAGAGGACAAACATTTGAGGAAAGAAAGAAAATTTAGTACACTGCACTAAACTCCATATGCAATATTATAATGAGGTACTACTGCTATTATCATTTTAAAAAAAGGACTAAAAATGTTTCTGGAAGGAGTAATTGAATGCAGCACAAGAAGAATAGAAGTCCATCATAATCACTTGGTCACTTAAATCTTACCTCGTCACTACTCCATCGGTTGGGAAATGAGGGACGTAGCTTCTTGATACACACAATCTCTCTCATGTCCTCGTAGGATGGATCACTGGGCACCAGATCATGGTAGGGTAGCTGGTATTCTTCTACTATACCTGAAAATATGTATTGACAATTGTTTTTATCATTGATTTCTGTTAAGAGTGTGTGGGGGGAGGATCCAAAACAAAATATTGCCAAAGGAGGATGTTACTATTATCAAAGGCAAATCTCATTTGAAAAACAGCAAAACAGGTTTTAAAAAGAATATGGCCAAGGGTACTTTTAAAGAATACAAAGCCTAAGGGGAAAAAATATTATTTTAGGTGCTTAAGCCTTTTTCTAATTTCTGGAAGCTAAGTAAAACTAGTATATCAAATTTATTTCTAATTTTATAAAGACTCTTGTATGCCAAATGAAAAAAAAAATCTATATTAAATCTCAACATCAATTTGGCAGCCACATCCAAACTCATATTACATAATATGTGACTGTTTCTATTGCTGTATTATGAGATTGAGTCTCATAATAAACTTGGCAGTGCATCCTCCTTGAACAATATGTCAGATTTACATCTTTCTACATTATCACAAGAGTGTATTCTTTGCACATTAAAAATTTAGAAAATCAAGTACATCCAAAAACATTAGGGATGATTTCCAAGCATTAAGGTTATCTGATATCCTTTAAGTGCTTGTATTTATAAAAATTTTCTATAAGGCATTTATTACTATTAGAGAAAGTATTTTGCCGAAAGACGTGTTAAGAAATCCAAGCCTATGCCAGCTTTATCATACCGAATTCTATTTCATTTCACCTTAGTATCTTCTCTCTTTCTTACCCTTTTAAAGAGTAGGCTATTTGTGTTCCTTTTAACTATGGGATTAACTGCTCACTGTAATTTTACTCAGCCTCTGTCTTCAGAGGATGTTGCTCTAAGCCATTTTTCTGGAGCACCCTCATCCTCTATCTTAAGTCCCTTAGTATAGACATGTCAGTGCTCTTTTACCTGAACCGGATGATAGCACAGACAGGCAGATTCAACACTGCACATTCAATTCACTGGGAGTTTGTGCTTATAAAGAAAGCCCAGAGTGTGCATTATGTCCTTTCATGGAAACTGAAACACATAAAGGTCCAGAAGTTCCAAAAGCTTTCTCAGACCAACTGAACTCTCCATTGATTCTATTCCCACTGATTTATAGGTACCATTTATGTTAATCGTTCCTTTCAATTTATCTTTAAGTGAAACAACAGCAACCATGAGTTACCTCTGTATAGCAAATGGACAGACCAGTGCTATACCACTTAGAAGAATGTTTGACCAAAAACAATTAAAACCAGGCCTGCAGGCCACAGATTAAAATCACCCATCTTTCACTTGGTATAGCACTGGTCTGTCCATTTGCTGTATAGAGGTAACTCATGGTTGCTGTGATGCTAAACACTATGATACTGGTGTGTCAAATGTGATAATGGTTACCCATGGTTGACAGTGTTTGATGCAACTTCCCAAATGGCAAAGGACACACAAATGAGATTAATCAGAACTGGCTTAGACAAGCACTGTGGCAATTGGACAATTAAAACAGACATTCAAGGGGGCGGGGCGGGGGGAAGAAGAACGAACTGGGAAGGAGGGTAGAGAAAACAGTGCAACAATGAATGAATGAAAACCCAAAATCTCTGTAAATGTTCATTAGAACTAATAAAATTTAAAAAAATGCATTCACACAATGAAAAAAAAAAAACAAGCTTAGAAGTAGGAGTGGAATCCACTTCTGAAATAGCTTGCCTCTGGAAACTCTATGAACTTGGAGAAACGATGAAAGTTATACAAGTGTTCAGGTCTTTTGCTTATAGGGTTGCTATGAGTCATCTACACAACACCACAGCAACTAGTGAGACAACACAAGTCCAACCTTTGACTGGTAAGAAATGCCAGCTTCATTTCAGTTCCTTTTTCCTTTATAATTCTCAAGCCAATGGCTTTGGAAACAGTTTGAGGACAAAAATAACGACTATTTAATTCTCATATTTTCCTTAGTATCTGAAGCTGGTGTACCTTACCTATCTGGATGGACTGATGGATAGATGGTGGGATATCCATATAAACCATAACAGGCACAGACAGAATTAACCATGTAAGATAAGGATTTGATCACAATAAGGCTTTGAACTGTAAGTCTTCCTCTGTTCTCCTAATCACACAATTGAGTTATCAAAAATTTTCATTCAGTGTCTTAAGCCCTATAATTTTCCCCTCTTTCTTTCTAATGTCATGCCCCAGACTTGAAAGACAAATTTAGAAACTTTCAATTTGCTTGAAAAGGAAAATGTTAATGGGCAGAATTGTGTGTGCACTTTGCCTCTTTGGGAAAAGAAAAGAAACTAATTTGTTGAAAGCCTACTACACATCAGGCATGGAAGTCACCACGCTCTGTAATTTATCTTATTAAACTCTCAAAACCACATTTATGAGATAGCATCATTATCTATACTGTACAGATGAGAAAATTTGGTTCTGAGGGGTTAAGTAACTTGCCTAAGGCCATACAATCAATTTTTACAGGGATAAGGGAACAATTTAGTTCTTCCCAAATCTCTATAGGCCCAAGAAAATTAATACCCCGCTGTGTGGTAAGTCCGGCTTGGTTGATTTAAAGCTGAGAATGATTTTTCCTGTATCTAGGCCTACTGACTTTAAAGGATAGACTTATTCTAACATTTATTTGCTTTAGATGTTCAAGAAAACATATAATTAGAAAAGCAATCTTGTATCATACAACTCCTTCCACTTTTCTAAACTCATCTTAAATAACTGTAAGGATTTAATTCAAAAGTACACTTAACCTACTTCCCCCCCCCCCAAAAAAAAACACACCCATACGGTAAGACAGCCAATAGTTAATATATATTTGGCTACTTATTTTGTTCTTCATTCCATGATGGGAGAGAGATTTATTCACTATCTGGTTAGGGAACATTTCCCGCATTAACTTTCCTTTTTTACAAAAGATTGCTCTCAATTTAGAAGTAACATGTTCTATTTTAAATTGCTTAGAAGATCCTCAGATTTGCCAGGGTGTTTAGAAGGAATTGCAGCATCCATGCTAAAGTGTGGATACTTGTTGATAAACTCTATCTTCTTTACATTTAAATATGAATCCAAATATAAGCTGAGTCTCTCTACCAACAAAAATGAAAATGAATATGAATAATAATCATTAAAATGTAGGGAACATTCTCCTAAGTTTGTTTTGTCTGGGATTTTTTTAAGGATGTGTGTCTATTTTATTCAGTTATTTACTCCAAGTGCCTAGAACAATAAACATCCAAAGTAATTGTCAGTAATTGTTAAGTGACATTATTTCACACATCACTATTTCTAAGTATGATGAATACCAGAACATTCTGGGAACAAATAACAGGAAACATGCCCTAGTTTCAAAGAAGGTTTCGTTGAGTAAGTAATTAAAAACCAAACATACTGCCATTAAGTCCATATCAACTCACAGCAAAACTACAGAACAGAGTAGAGCCCCTCAAATATATTCCCGGCAGAAAATAGGTGGTCAAAATCAATTTGTTGAGTGAATATATTTATGCCAAGGCCTGAAGAATGAGAAACCGTTCCACACAGAGAAAATTTAAAGAGTAAAGAACTGAGTGTCAAGCAGCTTTACTTCTCTTTCCATTCACTGAATATGTACAACCACCATCAGATGTAGACGCTATAATTAGCCACATTATTAAGATGAGAAAACTGAAAAAGAGGGGGAAAATTAATACTTTGCCTTAAGATCTCATGGATAATAAATTGCAGATCTAGAAATAAACGCCAGAGAAATGTTCAGAGTCTATGCTGAACTTTCAGAATCTTCTGAGTAAGATCATGATTTTATAAAGGGTCCCTTAAACTGGCCTTTATGAAGAACAGCTACAGCACCAAGTTATATTCTGAGCACAATCATACAGGGAGCAAAACACTAGGTTAAATATACACAAAAGCCTAGCTAGACTCAGCTCCCTACCTAAAATAAACTGAAATCTACGTAGGATTCAGTGATTAGGATGGCAGTCTGGAGACTAAGGTGTACCTGGTCCAGGCCATTGTCTTCACAATTATTTGCTATCTATCAGAAAGCTGGAAAATTACTAGAGATGATAGAATGAGAATTGATGCCTTTGAGCTGTGATGCTGGAGAAGAGTACTGAATAGACCATGGACTGCTAGAAGAAGAAATAAGTTCATCCTAGAGAGAGTGAGACCAGGCTGCTCATTGGAGGCAAGGATTCTGAAGCTCCATCTGACATACAGTGGACATTTTTCAAAGGTGGGACAAATCCTTGGAGAGGGACATCATTCTTGGGAGAGTAAAGGATAGCAAAAGGGAGGAAGACCCTCAATGAGATGGACTTACTCAGTGACTAGGATAATAGGGATAGGTGTGTCAGAGACAATAAGGTTGGCTCGGGATATAGCAGGGTACATAAGGTAGCAATGAGTCATAAATGACTCAACAGCACATAACAGCAGCAACCCTGGATGGATTATACTTCAGTAATGAAAAGAATACAAACAATAGTGATAAATTCTGAAAACTAAAAGCCATCCTTGGAAGCAAGGATAAGAAAGTTTTGTCTCACGTACTTTGGGCATGTTGTTAGAAGAGGCTATTCCTTGGAAAGGTACCTTATGATTGGAAAGATGGAGGGTTAGCAAAAGACATGAATGAAGTCTTTCAACGAGATGGACAGACACAGTGACTGCAGCAATGAGTGCAAACATGTAAGATGATACTGATGGCACAGGAGAACTCAGGGCTCAGATCTGTTGCTGATAGTGTCACTATGAGTCATACTTGACAGCACCTAACAACAATAATTTATTAGAACTGGTCATACTAGGGGACTCTTGGGTTTGTAGAAAACAGTCATGGACAATTAATATGTCCTTATGCTTTATTTTTTTTAATAAAGACTGATATAGTCAACACACTTAATGGGGATATTTTCCAGAAAATAAACAGAAAGAAGAAACAATGGCTGTTCCAGTGTGCAGTATGTCTCTACTGACATCTATGAAGAAGAAATGGTAGGGAATTAGGCAACACAATTATTTTTTAAACTTTTTCTCTGTTCTTTTTTTTTTTCCTTGTTGTGTGCTGTTGGATTCAACTGGCACAGGAGACTGCCCTCCTTCTCCAGTGGAGCTTCTGGTAGATTTGAACTGTGCACCTTCAGGATTGCAGCACAGCTTCTTGCCACTAGTCAAAACTATTTTAAAAGATAGAGTCCAGCAGGTTAGAAGGAAGAGGGGGAAAGGGTAGGGAAGAGGCTGCAATTTGATGGAGCAGATAAAAAGAGTCTAAGTAACAAATGAGCTAATCCATATAGAAGAAGAAAATGGTCATTGAAAAGGCAGGAGTACCTTAGAGTGTCAGAAGCAGACTCATCAGTACTAGGTCGAGTGCAGGGATAAACCAAGATGGCTCTCAGATGTCAAATCTCATTTCTGGGGAGGATTAAAGCTACATCAATAGGAAAATCTAATTTAAAGGACAACATGATCACATTAGTTTCAGAGGATAATAAAAGGATTTGTGGTGACACTGGCTGCAGCTTCTCAAGGATGTCACTGTTAACTTACCTCCAGATACACATCTCCTAGCAACCTCCCAGAGGATGAGTCCGAAACTGTACATGTCAGCCATGATATAAGACTGGAAGTGATTTCGATTCAAGCTCTCGTCCAATACTTCAGGAGGCATATAGCGTTTAGTGCCAACTCTCGTGTTGGGTGGTATGTCAACTTCATTTGTATCACTAAGAAAATAAAGCAAAGTACTGTCAGCACTGAAGCAGCCCAACAGATGCCAAATCAAAGCTATTTTTTAAACAAGGCCTTTAGTGAGTGGTGGAAAGGGGAAAACCTCACAGAGACTCAGAATGCTTCCTTGAAAATGGATTCTTGCTACAAGTTACATTTTAAAAAATCACATGTAAAACCCAATTAAGATGAGACTCAATCAGGATGAAGTTGCAACACATTAAATTGTACTAAATGTAAACGCTCTATAATTGCAAAAATATCTGCTAAATGTCTAAAGTGTATTCTTATATATTTAACAGCTTTACTTTGAAAATTGGCATGTTCACATTCACAGGGTTTGAAAGTGACAATATTTTTTTTAAAGTACTGTGTTTTGAAGGTTTTATAACTATAAACAAGTAAAAGAACCTCTTTTTTTTTTAAAAAAAAAAAGCCTGAAAGTTGGGAAGGAAGAGAAAAATCAACAAAGCTTTGCAAAAGTTTATTTGGAGACACAGGGATATAGAAACATTTGTATCGCTGTTTACTTTTATAATTATTATTTCACAAATCAAATGATACTTGGTTTCTAAACAAAGAGGTCAAGTGATAATGAAATCAATACTTCCAGCTTTATCAGAATTTCACATAACCTATTCCTTCTTCCTATCCATGAGGCTAGAATTTCATGATGGGCAGAAGTGTGAAGACTGACATTCAGCAAGCACAGCTTCAGGGCACTGAGCTGAATGTCAGAGCACTCAGGCTACTATTAAGCTGCTGAATTAGAATTTCTTGCTAGGTTGCTGCCATGCAAATTGCCTCACTGTAAGATAGTAGGTCTATATTCTTAAGGAAACCTCAAATGCATTGCCAAATAGCTGGAACTGCCTCATTCCCCCAGTGAGTTTTAAGAGGCTGTAAATCGTACAGGAGCCTGCTCCTATTTCTCCCTCTGAGTAGCTGGTAACTTGAAGTGGCACAGAGGTGCTGACTCTTGGTTAGCCGGGTGGCTCCCATGACATCCGAGCCCCTAAAGGCATGTATCAGACGCAGTCAAGTTGCTGCCACTCACGAGGCCTCCATAGGTTGGAGCAGAACTGCTTCTTTTAGAGCTTTCAGTGGCTGATTTTCTAAACTGCCAGGGCTTTCTTCCAAAGCAAATCTGTGATAAGCTTTTTTTTTAAAAAAAAAAAAACCAAACAACTGTGATCTTAGTGAAACTTTGAATAAAGATTGGTTTCCATCCATTCACTTGGGAGGAGCTAACTCCTGACCTTTAGGTTAAGAGTCAAGTGGATTATATTTGGGGGTAGGGGGTGGGGTTTGGGGAGGTGCGGGGGGTAGG